AAGCGCTGAACAGGCGTTTACAGCTCACCAGAGGCGCAGAAACGCTTTAGAACTGTCAGAAACGCTGATGTTAAGGCGAAAACATTATGTTCATTGACAATAGACTTGTCTGCTGTACAAACTTGTTTAGAGCAAGAAAACTATCATAATGCGATTTTTATACGAAAAAACGAACCGAGAAATAAAAATGTGGGCAAAAGACCCTGTGAAATACAGTGGCTGAGGTTTTGGGCTCGCTAAAGCGCTGAAAGGCGTGTCCAGCTCACGAGAGACGCAGAAACGCTTTAGAACAGTCAGAAATGGTTATGTTAAGGTAAGCATATCATGTACATTCAAATGTACTTGTCTGCTGAACAAACGTGTTTAGTGTAATAAAATGATCATGATATCACGTTTTCATGAAGAACAAAAGCAGAAACTTGACTTGGAAGGGGGGATCCGTGAAATGCTAAGCCTATCGTTTTTGGATCTCTAAAGCGCTGAAAAGGCGTTTACAGCTCAGCAGAGGCGCAGAAACGCTTTAGAACAGTCAGAAATGCTTATGTTATGGTACGCATATCATGTTCATTGAAATGAACTAGTTTGCCTAAAAACGTGTTTAGAATAAGAAAACTATCATAATGTCACGTTTTCATGAAGAAAAAAACAAAAGAAACTTGACCTGGAAGGGGGGATCCGTGAAATGCAAAGCCTATCGTTTTTGGATCTCTAAAGCGCTGAAAAGGCGTTTACAGCTCAACAGAGGCGCAGAAACACTTTAGAACTGTCGGAAACGCTGCTGTTAAGGAGAAAACATCATGTTCATTGACAATTGACTTCTCTGCTGTAAAAACGTATCTAGAGCAAGAAACATATCACAATGTAACGTTTTTACGAGAAACAAAACGAGAAACAAAACTTGGGCAAAGCACCCTGTGAAACGCAGTGGCTGAGGTTTCGGGCTCTCTAAAGCGCTGAAAAGGCGTTTACAGCTCACCAGAGGCGCAGAAACGCTTTAGAACTGTCAGAAATGCTTATGTTAGGGAGAAAACATCATGTTCATTGACAATTGACTTGTCTGCTGTACAAACGTGTTTAGAGCAAGAAACAAATCACAGTGTCACGTTTTTACGAGAAACAAAACTTGGGCAAAGCACCCTGTGAAACGCAGTGGCTGAGGTTTTGGGCTCTCGAAAGCGCTGAAAAGGCGTTTACAGCTCACCAGAGG